CACATCCACAGTGCCTGCATCGCCACACGTGATCAGAAGAGGAATAATATGAATAATTCCCATGCCACTGAGAGTAGCTGGTTGGTGCCATATGTTCAATACTATCACGGCACGGCCCAGGGACTTGAGCCCCAACCCCAGGGAAGGCGAAGGCCCCAGGCAACGGTTTGAGCCATCTCCTCCTCCTCCTCCTCCTCCTGTTCCTCCTTCTCCTCCTCCTCCTCTTCCTCTTCCGCCCCGTCATCATCCTCGCCCTTCTCCTCACCTCCCCCTTGCTCCTCCGAGAGGAGGCAGGAAGATGGAGGAGGAGGAGGAGGAGGAGGAAGAGCAGAGGGAGGAGGAGGAGGAGGAGGAGGAGGAGGAGGAGGAGGAGGAGGAGGAGGAGGCGGAGGAGCATGAGGAGGAAGAGGAGCAGGCGAAGGCGGAGGAGGAGGAGGAGGCGAAGGCGGAGGAGGAGGCGGAGGCGGAGGCGGAGGAGGAGGCGGAGGCGGAGGCGGAGAAGGAGGCGGAGGCGGAGGAGGAGGAGGAGGAGGAGGAGGAGGAGGAGGAGGCGGAGGCGGAGGCGGAGGCGGAGGAGGAGGAGGAGGAGGAGGAGGAGGAGGAGGAGCAGCGGAGAAGGACGAGGACGAGGAGGGGGAAGACGGAGGGGCCACCAACGTTGGCTCGTGTGCCACGGGGCCCCTCCCGGGAGGGAGGCGGGGCGAGGATGGGGGCGAACCCGCCACGGCTCGGGCCTCTGGCCCTGGGAAGCGCACGGCAAACCTGGAGGCCCGCACCCCCGATTGCCTCCCGGGGGGCGATCTCCGACGTCGCGCTTCTTTTTTTTTCGCAGTGTGGACCCCCAGGGGTCTGGGCACGAGCGCGCTTCTGCATTTTCGGCGATCACGGGCATTACAAGGGGGGGGGGGGAGGGGCCACGGAGGGGGGTATAAAGTAACGCCTCCCACCTGCCGTGCGCACGGCGGCACTGCCCGGAGCGCACTGGGGGGGGAGGGGCGTCACGATATTGGGGGGGAGGGGGCCGGGGGCTATAATGCCTACTAAGCCCCAAGCAATCCGTCGACCCCTTGGGGATCATCGGCGTGTGGGATGCTCCCCCCTCCCCAAACCCCTCCCCCTGGAGCCCGGTCTGGTCGATTTGAAGGGGGGGGCCGTCCGGCCAGAGCTCATCAGGGGTGTCCGGCCCTTCCCGGGCCCCTTTGGGAGGTCCACGACAGTTGCTGGGGCCGCCCAAGAGGTCCACAAGACGGTCCAAGAGGGCTCCGAGACGCCGGAAGATCCTTCCAAGACGCCTAACATGGACCGACAAATCGTTCCAAAACGCCCAACATGGGCCGAAGACGGCCCAAGAGGCCGCCAAGACGTTCCAAGAGACCTCCCAGGAGGCCTCCAAGAGGCCCACATCGTCAAATTTCCGTAAGAAACGCATATTTCTAACATATACGATTTTTCCGCCTTCACAGCGCGGAATCGGAAGCCCTTCCAAGATGCCTCCAAGACCGCCCTAAGGCGACCCCATAGGTCCCAACACGGCACAAGAGACGCCCAAAACGACCCAAAAGGGCCCCAAGACGGCCCCAAGAGGGGCCCGAAAGGGGGACCACGAAACGAACATTCCAGTCGTCCGCCCCTAGAGGCATCCAGGAGGCCACAAGCCGCTCCAAGAAGGCCCCCAGACGCCCCCAAAAGGCCCCAAGAGGCCCCAAGAGGCTCCCCAGAGGCCTCCAAGAGGCCCCGAGGGGCCCCAAGGGGCCCCAAGAGGCCCCCAACTCGGCTTCGATATACGATGGTTCGGCCTTCACACCGCGGAAGACCTTCCAAAATGCCTCCAGGACCGCCCTAAGACGCCCCCATAGGCTCCCAAAAAGCCCCCAACACGGCACAAGAGGCGCCCAAAACGACCCAAAAAGGCTCCAAGACGGCCCCAAGAGGGGCCCGAAAGAGGGACCACGAAACGAACATTCCAGCCGTCCGCCCCTGGAGGCTCCCAGGAGGCCACAGGAGGCTCCAAAAAGGCCCCCAGACGCCCCCGAAAGGCCCTGGAACAGACACTTCGAACCTTCGGCTCCCAAGACGCCCCCAACGCGCCCCAAGGACCCCCAGGAAACCCCCGCCCCCCCCCCCCACAAAAAGAGGCCGGCGGTGTGGCGCAAGCCTAGGAGTCCACGTCCGGAGGTGACGTGCTGAGCGGCAGCGTTTTTCGGCGGACGCCTTCATGCAACGTATCCGATGTATCCCATGATTGCGTAATTGCCACACATTGCATTGTGTTGCATTATCATGTCTCCCCCCCTAACCGTACCCCCCCCCGGGAGCCGCGCCGCAGGAACGGACCAAAAACATCGGCCCTCCTTCTGGGGTCGGCCCTCCTTCTGGGGCCCCAAACTTACAAAAACCTATGACAAATCAGCAAACTCGGCCTCTTGGGCCTCTGGGGACTCCAAGAGGGCCTCAAGATTGCCCAAGATGGCCCCAAGACGGCCCAAGACGGCCCAATATATTCCTAACGGGGGCCCATGAGGCCCCCAAGACGGCCCCAAGAGGGCCCCCGAAGCCCCAAGGACTGCCCAAAAGGGCCCCAAGAGCGCCCACAACTGCGCCTCCAGAGGACGAACTCATTGATTTTCATAATATATAATATATATATATATATAATATATAATATATATATATATTATATATATATATATATATATATATATATATATATACTATATATATATATATATATATATATATATTATATATATATACAACCATATTCTAGCGTTCTCGCATTGTTCGACTCTCAAAAATCAATCACGGCCCAAGTAGTTTCCAGAATCGCCCCAGAACAGCCCAAAAGCCCCCAAGAGGGCCCCAAGACGGCCCAAGAGGCCGCGAAAACGGCCCAAGAGGACCCCAAGAGGGCTCCAATGCGGCCGCGAGAGGCCCCCAAGACAGTCTCCGAGGGGGCGAAACGGCGCAAAAGCGCCCCAAGACGGCCCAAGACGCCCCCAAGAGGCCCCAAGAGGCCCCCAAGAAGCCTCCAAGAAGTCCCCCAGAAACCTCCAAAAGGCCTCCAAAAAGCTCCCCCAAGGCCACACAGCGACTGGAGTGTAATGTTACGTTCCCCCCTCTGGGCGAACTGCGGCGCAGCGCCAGCCAGGTGGAAGTTGGCCACTGCGGCGCCCATGATTAGAGCCGGCGCTGGAAGGGAAGATGGGGAGGGTGTATGAGAAGGAGGGAGGGGGGAGAGGCCCCCAAAAAGTTCCCAAAAGAAACCCCCAGGAGGTCTCCAGGAGGCCCCCAAGAGGCTCCCAAGAGGCCCCGCGACGACGTGAGTGTACGTGCTCCGGACGTGCACCCCGCGAAACGAAAGGAATAAAGAAACACGCTCTAGACACCTTTCCCGAGACCACCTTCTCATCCCGAGTCGTCTCGCCATCGCTCGGACGTCCATCCCCGTGCGTTTTTCGGCGTCGTGCGTGTGCTTCTCCACAGGATTCGGGCTGGGCGAAGGGGGGATAGCAGAGGGGGGGTAGCAGAGGGGGGGGTTGAGAATCAGCTCACGTAGCTGATTTTCCCGGCGCCTCCCGGCGCCGGAGGCGGCCACATATCGAGGAATGGGCCCCTCGGTGGGGCCGTAACCAGCTACATGCAGCAAATGTTGTAACCTCCCTTTCCCTACCCCCTTTCGTCTGGCCCGAAGGATGACCCAAGATGCTCCTCGATGGTCCTCGCCGGGAATAGGTGCACACGTCCGAGCGATGCCAAGGCGTGCGTGTGCACGGTCCCAGGGCGCGCTCCCCCCGAAGGCCGCAGGAGCATGGCCAGGTAGCCCCCCCCCCCTCGTCGTGACCTACAGTGGGGGCTCGGCCACAAGAAACCTTCGCAAGAAACCCAACCCTGAATTCCGCGATGTGTTCGGTGAAAACCCAAATTAGTCGATCGAAAATCGTCAAGATCTTATTGGGGGCCCATCGAAATCCAAGAAACTCAGGGCACCCTCGCAAAATCCGACTGGTTTCTTGGCACGCGCCCCCACTGGATTACTGCCGCGACGAAGGGGGCAGGTCTGGGAAGGGGGGCACCCCGGCGGGGCAAAGCGCGGCGGGAGGGGGAGGGTCTGGGGCGGGTCTGGGGCGGCAGGGCAAAGACCGCGAGGAGGGGCGCGGTGGGGGCAGACCGCGACGAGGGCAGGTCTCGGGAGGGGGGGACCCCCGAGGGCTGAAGAGGACGCCCGGATGCCCCCCCCCCCCCCCGTCGTGCTGTCCCTGCCGCGACGAGGGGAGGTCGAGGGGAGAGGGGCAGACCGGCGGGGCAAGGATTGGCGGCGCGCGTAAGGGGGGTATGGGGAGAGGGCGGCAGGCTTCTCAGGTTCAGGCGGCTCCTTAGACGGGGCCGGCACAGACGCCATTCCCTACCAGGAAGCCTTCCCCCCAGGCCCTATACCCCCCTCTGCGCGTGGCCGAGAAGAGCGGCGGGCGGGGGCAGGATCGCTCCACATCGAGCCGGGAACTCGGACCGCATCGGGATGCAAGTCTGGTCGGGCCGCACAGGCACGGAGCCGGAATCGAGCCAGAACGGCCGCGCCAGGCTGCACCGCAGCGCCGTGCAACAGCCATGGGTCACACCAGGTCGCCAGCATACAGTGGAGGCCATTCCACCAGCAACCTTCCACAAGAAACCCAACCCTGAGGCCCCAGGCCGTCCATTGATTTTTGGTGTGGGAGCGTCGAGCTTTCCAGAGCCAAACCATCGAAACCCCAAAACCCCCCCCTGGCACCCTGGAGGCAAGCAAGATGCTTCTTCGCACGGGACCCACCCCTTTCCCCGGGACCGGTGTTTCGTCCTGAGTCGTTTTTTGACGGTCCCGAGGCCCGGCGAAGGCCCCCCAGGGCTGCAAAATAGCTCCAAAACGCGCTTCCCGTCCTGATTTTTTTTTGCGGGCTGGCCAGAGCCGGCATCGCATCGGACCGCTGGGAGCGAGCCCGGCCCTGCCGTCGCGCGCGGGGGGCCTCGTACAGCAGCCTCCCCATCTGCGACCCGGGCACGAGCACCCGCGGCGGCGGCTTGCCTGCGGCCGGCGGAGGGCCCACCACTATCGGGGGGAACGAAAGGGGGGGATAGCAGAGGGGGGGTTTGAGAATCAGCTCACGTAGCTAATTTTCCCGGCGCCTCCCGGCGACGGGAGGCGCCCATGTATCGAGGAATGGGCCCGGCGGCGGGGCCGAAGCCAGCTGCATGCAGCAGATTTCGTAACCCCTCCTTTCCCAGTCCCCTCCTTTCGTCCGGCCCGACACTACAGAGGCCTCCCAGGTGGGGTCGGAGTAGATTTAAGTCGGGCGCGTCCCCCTACAGGGGGATTTTGGGCGAAACGTGATGAATGGCCAAAAAAATGCCCCCAAATCATCAAAACATGCTCAACAAATGGTTCCCAGAGTAGTTGTTTGACTATTTTTGAATTTCTCATGTATACACCACCGATGCATCGGCGATGCATCGGCGACACCGGCGATGCATTGGCGACGCCAGTGTGGAGAAAATCGGGCTCCACATCGAGCCGCATCGCCGATGCATCGTCGATGCGGCGCGACCCCATCTACCCGGACCCTATCTAGGAGGACTAGAACCACCGCCCAGAGCCCCACAGGCCGATCGGTAGTAGGCTCGCTTTCCCCCAGAACGCAGGACGCAACTCATGAGAGGTCTACGCGAGCAAGGTCCCAGACATGATCGCGTCGTTAAGAAATCAGGGCTGGAGGTCTTTGTGGACTATTTTCGGCCCCGGGGGGCCCTCGCCGGGCCTCGGGACCGTCAAACAACGACTCAGGACGAGACACCAGTCCCGGAGAGAGGGTCGGGACTTCCAGGGACGCCAACCTGAAAAAAATAGGACGTCGCATGTCTGGGGTGAGAAAGGTTCGAAGGCCGATGGGTCCGACGAGAAAGGGCCACTGAGCCAGATCAGCTCGGACTCAACCCAAGAGAAGCCACCCAAACCCCCACGGGTCGATCGGTAATGGGCTTGCTTTCCTCCAGAAACCGGCTACACGCAAGATTGACCCTGGGTAAGAGTGACCTTTGGTGCGCGGCTTTTTGGGGGCCCAGGGGGGGGGGGGGGGGCCAAACACAGGCGCGCAAGACGCTACTATCGCATCCCGCTCGGCGATCGGACGCCCCAAAATGGGCCCGCACCAAAGGTCACTCCGGCGAAGGGTCACTCTCTCGTCTAGTCGAAGAAAGCAGGACGCAACTCATGATAGGCCTACGTCAGAAAGCTTCGAAGGCCATTGAGTCCGACCAGGAAGGGCAACTGAGCCAGATTAGCTCAGACTCAACCCAAGATAAGCCCGGAGTCGGCGGGGTAGAGGCGAGTCTCGCACGGATCAGAGGGCGTTGTGCCAAATTCGGCCGGTCTTCCATCACAGATATTATACCAGCGCCGATGTTGCCTTTAGCCTCTCAGGAGCTGCATCCTAGCCGGCCCGTATCATAAGGATGCTCGATAAGGATGCAAGGGCCTTGGACGTCCATGTCGAAGCTTCTCGGGCGGGGCGCGGCCAACAAAAGTGGCCAGGGATGGACCGAAGAGGCAAGGATTGCAAGGGCACCCTTGGGAAATTTGCCCATCTTTCCTATGCGTGTTGACTGTAAGAGGTAATATGTCTGGAAGGGTCGTATATTACACCAAAGAAAACCCCCAATCAGTGGCTGGCTTGATCGATAAAAAGATCGACCGGGAACCCCGAAACCCGGAACCCACCGAAACCGACCCGAACCAATAACCAAGACACCGGGAACCCAGAACTGGGAACCCGGGAACCCAGCCGGCCACCCAAATCGGCAGGAAACTTTCGCCAAATCTTTCAATTTCCGCCAGACCCCAGACATGCGACGTCCTGATTTGTTCAGGAAGACGGCCCTGGAAGTCCCGACCCTTTCCCCGGGACCAGTTTTGCCTCCCGAATCGTTTTTTGACGTCCTCGAGGCCCGGCGAGGGCCCCCCGGGGCCTACAACTGGCAGAAACCTCCCCTCCTGATTTTTTTAACCGCGCGATCATGTCCGGGACCCCTTCAGGTGCAGGCGCTGATTGGGGAGCAGACATGCGGACGGGCCTGGAGAGGGAGCCCGGGCCCCGGAAGGGGGTGGCCCACCGTGGCCCATGGTCGTCGCCTCCCATCGTGGGCCCCCTCCGCGTCACTGTATGCATTCAGCCCGTCTAAGAAGGAGGCGCGGTACAGTGCGGGCGCGGCCGCAAGAAACCCTCGCAAGAAACCCAACCCTGAAAACCTGCGCGCGAGGTGCAACTGAGGGGAAACTCGGAGCAACCCGAACACAGCAGCTCCTGCAACGGCCGCGGGAAGTCACCGCGCATCGCGCGGAGCGAAGAAACGCAGGGTACCCTGACGAAAAGTAGATGGTTTCTTGAGGCGCGCCCCCACTGTAAGGATGCAAGGGCTCTTTTGTTCCCATCGTACTTAGGGACCACGTGCCAGACACAATTCCGAGCACCCCAGAAAAGTATCGAAGCAATGTCGAACGAGTATCGCCTCCCAGGGCCCGACACGTGAAAACCCTCAAGTTTCGGTACTTTTTTGGTGCTCGGAATTCTTTCTGTTGATCGAGGCTGAAGTAGGTTGGAACATCATAATGCAAGAGCCGTGAAGGGCCACGCTGACGGTTTTCGAACAAGTCTGGACAGGGAAAGTCGCCAAGGCTGGGCCGAATGGGACAATGATGCGAAGGTACACTTGGGAAGGTTGCCCATCCTCACTACGCGGGGTGACTGTAAAGCTGGTTGGTGCAATAGTTTGTTACTTGCACGCCCTATTGGGGCCTCCGAAAAAGCTACTCGTCGCCACGGCTGGCTCCACCTCGAATTTTCTGGCGAGAACGCGCCCCTGGAAAGGTCCGCGCGCCGACCTTCCACGCCCACGCAGAAGCCCCGTGAAAGAAAACAACACGATGGTGTGTGTGTGTGTGTCTGACGATTTTCGGACTCCCGTGGGGGCTCTCACCAGGTCCCCGGACCGTCAACATTACAACCACCACCACCACCACCAACAACAGCAGCAACAACAACAACGACACCACAAGCAACAACATCATCAACATCATCAACAACAACAGCACCACCACCAGCATCAACAACAACATCGCCAACAACAACAACGACAACAACAACAACAAGGTACAGGCCGGCATGGTCCCCCCGGGGTCCGGGGCTTCACTTCCCGCGTCCGCCACAGTGGAGGAGGCCGGTCCCGCCCCCCCGGTGAGTCGGAGGGGGGGGGGGGGAACAACACAACACAACACGAAACAACGAATTCTGTATGAATTCTGTATGAACTGTATGAATTCTGTATGAATTCTGTATGAATTCTGTATGAATCCTACAAGCTCCCTACGGATTCCCATCGGAATCCGTTCGGGACCCTCTAGGAGTCTTTGGATCCCTCCAGGGACTCTATAGAATCCCTGTGGATCCCTCCAGGGACTCTATAGAATCCCTGTGGATCCCCCCAGGGACTCTATAGACTCCCTCCAGGGACTCTATAGAATCCCTGTGGATCCCTCTAGGGACTCTATAGACTCCCTGTGGATCCCTCCAGGGACTCTATAGATCCCTGTGGATCCCTCCAGGGACTCTATAGAATCCCTGTGGATCCCTCCAGGGACTCTATAGAATCCCTGTGGATCCCTCCAGGACTCTATAGAATCCCTGTGGATCCCTCCAGGGACTCTATAGAATCCCTGTGGATCCCTCCAGGGACTCTATAGAATCCCTGTGGATCCCTCCAGGGACTCTATAGAATCCCTGTGGATCCCTCCAGGGACTCTATAGAATCCCTGTGGATCCCTCCAGGGACTCTATAGAATCCCTGTGGATCCCTCCAGGGACTCTATAGAATCCCTGTGGATCCCTCCAGGGACTCTATAGAATCCCTGTGGATCCCTCCAGGGACTCTATAGAATCCCTGTGGATCCCTCCAGGGACTCTATAGAATCCCTGTGGATCCCTCCAGGGACTCTATAGAATCCCTGTGGATCCCTCCAGGGACTCTATAGAATCCCTGTGGATCCCTCCAGGGACTCTATAGAATCCCTGTGGGGGATCCCTGTGGATCCAGGGACTCCAATCCCTGTGGACTCCCTCCAGGGACTCTATAGAATCCCTGTGGATCCCTCCAGGGACTCTATAGAATCCCTGTGGATCCCTCCAGGGACTCTATAGAATCCCTGTGGATCTCCAGGGATAGAATCCCTGTGGATCCCTCCAGGGACTCTATAGAATCCCTGTGGATCCCTCCAGGGACTCTATAGAATCCCTGTGGATCCCTCCAGGGACTCTATAGAATCCCTGTGGATCCCTCCAGGGACTCTATAGAATCCCTGTGGATCCCTCCAGGGGACTCTATAGAATCCAGGGATCCCTCCAGGGACTCTATAGAATCCCTGTGGATCCCTCCAGGGACTCTATAGACTCCCTCCAGGGACTCTATAGAATCCCTGTGGATCCCTCCAGGGACTCTATAGACTCCCTCCAGGGACTCTATAGAATCCCTGTGGATCCCTCCAGGGACTCTATAGAATCCCTGTGGATCCCTCCAGGGACTCTATAGACTCCCTCCAGGGACTCTATAGAATCCCTGTGGATCCCTCCAGGGACTCTATAGAATCCCTGTGGATCCCTCCAGGGACTCTATAGAATCCCTGTGGATCCCTCCAGGGACTCTATAGAATCCCTGTGGATCCCTCCAGGGACTCTATATAATCCCTGTGGATCCCTCCAGGGACTCGGTCGAATCCCTGTGGATCCCTCCAGGGACTCTATAGAATCCCTGTGGATCCCTCCAGGGACTCTATAGAATCCCGGTGGATCCCTCCAGGGACTCTATAGAATCCCTGTGGATCCCTCCAGGACTCTATAGAATCCCTGTGGATCCCTCCAGGGACTCTATAGACTCCCTCCAGGGACTCTATAGAATCCCTGTGGATCCCTCCAGGGACTCTATAGATCCAGGGACTCTATAGAATCCCTGTGGATCCCTCCAGGGACTCTATAGAATCCC